CAGTAGATGGATCGACCTGGCAGCAGGGGTAATGAACTCTTTTGACAAGAGTATTTGGAGATGCAGGTACTTATGCAAAATGACCAAGCTAATTGTCAGTTTTTACTATACTATAACCTGGACTTAATCCAGTGCCTTGGAATCTCATCTTGATGCCTTTTGTAAATGGCCCTTGCGCTGTATGATGGGGTACAGTTGGTGAGGCCATGTGTATAACCAATGGTTGCAAGGTGAGACTGGCACAGGCTATAAGGCAACCTGTCTAGTTTCCCACAGGATGATTCTTCCCACCAGGTTGTAACCCCGGTTGGATGATCTAGGAAGACATGGCACGGGCATATCGATCAAACCTGTCGTGAAGAGTTTGAGATGGCCAAGTCCCTGCCTGGTGACTCGCCATGATGGACGCAGCTATGCGCCCCTGTCGGCTTTAGCTCACTAATGATGAATAATGACGTGTACAATTTGCTTTGCTTATTACACTGCATATTATCGAAGGAATTGTGTTCACAATCTTATTTGAGTATTTTCATTGTATGGCTTAGAAATTAGCATGAATGAAACATTTGTATTTTAATTGTATGAATTCTTAATGAAGGAATATACGTAGTTTGAAGAGCTAGTCTTCATTATGAAGACTAACTGACTGCCTATTTAAACTGAAAATTTATTTACAAACCTTAGTGTCCCCTTAGATATGTTGTGTCATTGATGCTAATTGTTACATTATGAAGGATGTGTTGCTTAGTTTAGAATAGATAATGACACTGGCCAAATTGATAATCTACCCTGTTCAGTGTATGCAGCTTTTGTAACGTTTCACATATTTAACTAAATATGGACATTTATAGGAAAATATATGTTATTGTCAATTTTATTTTAAAGATCAGAATCTTTTTGAACATTAAAATTAATGGAACTCAGTGGGAGGTTAAAGAACAGCCTCTGTTTCAATATCGGAAAAGGATCCCGTTTGAATTTTTATCATGGTATTTTTTTTAGATAAGTTCATCCTATTCCCTTTATTAGATAATTACCTTTCTTGTTAACTGTGATACTTTCTTAGATATTTCTTCACTAATTTCCCTTTCTTGTGTTACATCTATCTTGCATTATCTTATCTTTATGTTAGTTCTTTTACCTTTTTTAGCTTAAGCCTTTTATTTTGTTGTTGTTGATTGGAGCAGTTTTACAGAGTGTAGTGAGAGCTATGTATAGTTGGATGAATTGCTAGTAGGTTGGATGAATGGCTGGTTGGATGGTTGGTTGAATGGTTGAACAAATAATTTAATGGTTGGTTGAACTGATAACTGAATAGTTAGATGGATGGTTGGATGTCGGTTGGTTGAATGGTTAAACTAATAATAAAATGGTTGGATGGTTGGTTCAATGGATGGATGGTTGGTTGAACTGATAATTTAATGGTTGGATGGATGGTGGGTTGGGTTGGTTGAATGGATGGGTGGAGGGTTGGTTGAACTAATTATGAAATGGTTGGATGGAAGAATGAATGGTAGGTTGAACGGTTGGTTGAACTCCTAATTGAATGGTTGGGATGGATGGATGGATGGTTGGTTGGTTGAATGTTTGAACTAATAATTGAATGGTTGGATGGATGGTTGATTGGATGGTTGGATGAATAGTTATTTGGTTGGGTGGATGGATGTTTGAAATCATAATAATTGAATGGTTGGAAGGAATGGGTGGATGTTGGTTGAACGTTGAACTAATAATCAAAATGTTTGAATGGATAGGTGAATGGTTGGATGGATGGATGGATGGATGGTGAACTAATAATTGGATGGTTGGATGGATGGTGGTGAACTAATAAGTGAATGGTTGGATGGTTTAATGGATGGTTGAACTAATAACTGGATGGTGGTTGGATGAGTGGATGGATGGATGGTTGAACTAATAAATGAATGGTTGGATGGTTTAATGGATGGTTGAACTAATAATTGGATGTTGGATGGATGGATGGTTGAATTAATAAGTGAATGGTTGGGTTTTATGGATGGTTGAACTCATAATTGGAGGGTTGGTTGCATGGTTGGTTGAACTCCTAATAATTGAATGGTTGGTTCGGTGGATGTTTGGTTAGTTGGTTTAAATCCTAATCAAATGGTTGGTTGGGTGGATGGTTAGTTGAACTCCATAATTGAATGGGTGGTTGGATGGATGGTTAGAAGGGTGGCTAGATGAATGGTTGGATGAAGGAAGGTTGGGTGGTTAGATGATTGGTTGAACTCCTAATATTGAATTGGATGGTTGGATGGAATGATGTTGAATGGTTGGCTTGAAATCCTAATAGAATGCTGGTTGGAGGGATAGATGGATGGGTGGTTGGTTGAACTCATAAGAATTGAATGGTTGGATGGATAGTTGGTTGAATGGTTAGTTGAACAGCTAATAACTGAGCGGTTGGTTGGACAGATGGTTGATAAGATGGATTTTTTTTTTATTGGATGGATGGATAGAGAGAGAGAGAGAGGAAGAGAGAGAGAGAGAGAGGAGAGAGAGAGAGAGAGAGAGAGAGAGAAGAGAGAGAGAGAGAGAGAAGAGAGAGAGAGAAGAGAGAGAGAGAGAGGAGAGAGAGATGGTGTATGTGGTGTGTGTTGTGTGTGTGTTGTGTGTGTGTGTGTGTGTGTGTGTGTGTGTGCGTGCGTGCGTGCGTGCGTGTGTGTGTGTGTGTGTGTGTGTGTGTGTGTGTGTGTGTGTGTGTGTGTGTGTGTGTGTGTGTGTGTGTGTGTGTGTGTGTGTGTGTTGTGTGTGCGGGCGCGTGCATGTGCGTGTCTGTGTGTGTATTTGTTTATATATATGTATATTATATATGCATGTGTTTACATGTATGGTCATGAGTCTGCGTTATTCGTCGCCTCATTATTACTCTTTCATCTCAATTTTTTTTGTGGATGCATCATTATTCGCGTTTCACCTTTTCGTCGTTAGGTTCCCGAAGTTTATGCACACAATTTCCCAAACATATGAAAGTAATACGGGTGATCCGGATCATGATGCGGATCCAGGATTTTTTTAAAATTGCATCTTGTGACCTTACAGCTTGACGGAGTTCTTGCGCTCTCTGAGGGCTTCTAGTTACACCATGTTTCACATGAAACGGTTGTGTAAACCTTTCTTTAATAAAGGTGTAGATATTTCTCTTCTTAGTATTATTTGAAAATAAATATATACTACATGCTTGAACAAAACCTCTGGATATTATGGTCAGGGTCCATATAGAATCGTTATTCATCGTAGTTTTCTAAAGACGAATACAAGGGACTCCTGTATGTGTGTATATGTACTCGGATATTTATGTATGTGTGTGTGTGTGTCTGGGTGATATTATATCGTGGCTTTGTTTGAAATATGATTAAGCCCCCCCTCTCTTTTGTGTGTATCCAAATGGGTGAGAGCCGATTAACATTTTAAAATGCGTGCAAATCCTCCCAACCTGTTATTACTCCTCTTGCATTTCCCCAAAGGGATATACTTAGCTGCTCATAGAGTTTAGTGCATCTTGTCCCAATGAAAATTCACATCTGTTATAAAAACAAAGCGTGCTGCTATTAGCTTAAATTAGACTAAGCTACATATCACTCCGTAATATGTCTACCTTCTTGGCATCATTTTATGGTGTAATTTATATTAGATTATATTATTATTGCTTACTGTAATCTTTTATCTAATCAAATACACAATAATGGTAATAGACTGTAAAGGACAGACTTTATATTCTGTGCAATGAAGTTTATCAAATGTATAATTTATATTTTGGTGTACAAGGTCTATATTGTCAGTTGTGCCATGCAGTTGATGTATATAATCACTTTGTATTGTCGTTTGTGAAACAACTCATGATCTGTGTGACCTGTATGTATGAGAAAAAAGAAAGTAAGAGCTATCGGAACCTTATTTCAGAGAAATGGCACCACTGTGCCCGAGTTGGTATAGTGAGGGTGGGTTTACCAGAAAGTTGAAATATTGTGAAATGGTATCCATGAATTAAGAATGTTATTTCCAAATTGTTCCCAATAGAAATGAAAACTCTCCAGTTTGTCCGTCCATTATCAGCAAACATAGCCTGATATTTCATTTCAACCAAGAACTTGTAGTCCACGCACAAGTAAAGGTGTAATAAATCAAGTAAAAATTATCACTCATACCTCACATTCAAATGAAATGGGAATAAATGACCAAAGTATGTAAATATTATGAATGTGAAATAACGGAAATTTATTCTAGTATTAGTACGATTTGCGGGAAATGAATTTGATGGGAAACTCTTCTGTATTTCAGTCACAGCGAGAGAAGGGGGGAACGGGACTATGATTAACTCAGGGTTTTAGGTGAGTAGGAGTTGGAGGTTAATGCATAGTGCAACAGTTGGTTCAGTACAGTTCATATAGATTTGCAAAGTCCAGCTTCCCCCGGGGTCTTTTCTCACGAGTGGGTTCAGAATTTGTTCTATAGAGGGCTCTACTGGAGCCCTTTATTACATATAATTATCGATCTTGAAGAAATGGAAATGTGGCTAAAGAATGATTTTGGCTTCATGTCTTATTGTTGTGTACGTTCCTACTGGTGTTTGCAAACTCGACGAGAAATAGGCGGTTTACGCCAAACTCGCATTTGTGGCAGACGGGTGTCCCCGGCGAGACATTTGCATTGTACATGCTTATTTTTAGGTGGAATTTGAGAAGAAGTGAATGTTTAAATGATTTTTGGGAATTAGAAAAGGTAATTTTTTCCAAAGAATATTAGATTTAGAAGTTTCGTCTAAAAGGGTAACTTCCATTGTTGATTTTCATCTATACTTATTGCTACAAGCCATGGAAATATTTAGCTCTTATATCCCCCTTCGCACATACACAGACACGCGCACGCGCATGCAAACAATTATCTATGATTTATTTTGTATGTTTATATATTTATATATTTATATATTTAACATACATCATATGTTAAATATTGAGCATATCTAATCTCCAAATATTCGT